ATTAGTGAGAGGCAGAGCACAAAAGTCAAAAAGTTGATTGCGATTGGGTATGGGCCCTGCGCCCAATCGTAGAAGGACCGAAGGTGAAAGAGGTGGTGTAGACTGCAGAGCCCAACAAAATCAATTCGAACCATCTCCTTCTCCCTCTCGTCCCGATAACGCACCAACGGGCTAACAACCTTCGCCCGCTTCTCCTCGCCAATCAACTAACACAGACGAACCCTAGCGCATACCAACCAACAGTAAACCCTAGCTCCAATCTCAATTCAATTCCTAATCTTCTTCTAATTTCAATTCTTCCTTCACGCTTTTGTTGTTTGTAGTAATAAGGCAGAGAGGAATCCCCCCACGGAACCCTAGAATCCCGTACTGTAATTTTTGGGAACAAATCGTATTTGTAAGTATCAATTGTCTTGTATTCAATTGCATTGCAGTTGCATGCAGTGTTTTCTTGTTGTTTTTTGTTTCAAATTTTACGTGGAGAGGGACGATAACCTTGTGTGGAATTGAATTATGGGGTTGTTGTAGCTATTTATTTCATGAGGGGGCAAGCAAAGAGAAGAGAAGGATGAGTAGGCTGTCGTTCAGGCCGCGTCCTTTGGACATACACAAGAAGTTACCTATTGTAAAGTCAGTCAAAGACTTTGAGGAAGATGAGACCCCTACTTCTGCCACCCGCAACTCTCAGCTGCTACGTCTTGCTGCTGTTGAGGCCGATAATGAGGTGCCTTTTCTTTTTCTTCTTTTTTTAACATTTGTGTTACTTTTATTTATCTCAAGTTCAGAGGATGGTTGTAAATTTTTTGATTCCAAGAAAATTTAAATTCCGGGAAAGTTACAATATTTGTGCATCCTGGTTAATGCGTGGGGTTCCTCTGATTAGAGAAGCTGATTTAAGCTTATCGCAGTTAGTTTTATCACTTATTTCAGCTTTTCAAATGAATGTTTAATTCTTCCTAAGAAGCTTATTCAATTCCAAAGGTGCTAAGGAAATAACATGTGGGCTTGCTTAGTCCGTTATATTTTGAGTTACCCAAAGGCCAACCATGCAAATTACTTACTGTGCATGTATGGGAAAGCTACACTGCTTGGAAAACTTCTGAAAGTTGGATATTGGCATTACTGGTTTATAGCCATGATATCTTTGCATTTCAATTTTTATTGTGCTCTCGCAGTCATTTATGATTATGATATTCTGCTCATTTGAGTGAATACATTTGCGTTTTAGGTACACCAAATCCCTACCAAGAAACTAGCTCCTGAAATACCGACACCTCAGTTTGTTGTTGTGGATACCTATGAAAGAGACTATTCTCGCACTTTCTCTCAACCTACATCCTATATACGCGCAAGGGGAGGTTTGTGAATCCAATAAACTTTGATGGCCCTTCTCAGTGATATTGAAACTGACTGGCATCCTGAAAGTTTGTTCAATCATGTGCAGCCCGGGCTGAGATTGGAGAATTTATTGAATATGATCTAGACAATGAGGATGAAGATTGGCTTCTAGAGTTCAACAAAGATAAGAAGATTCTTTCACCAGAAAAGTAATTACATCATTCTTGATTACTGTATTGTCTACTGTGTCAATTGTTGTGGTCTTATTTTTCTTTAGTTTTGCATGTATATTTCAACTTGTCCTGTCTAAGTGAGTTTCTTATAACTTTTTTCTTGCTTGGTCTACTACTCGCTAAAATTTACGGTAAAGTTTATTTAGTTGTCTCATCCTTTCTGTTCTCAAAGTGGGTGGCATTTTCAATGTGAAAATCTTCTCTACCCAAGTTGTTTCCACATATCACAGGGCATGATGCTATTTAACTTGCTAACTAGTCTGATTTCTGCTTCATTATCAATATTTTAATCTATCATTCTGGGAGCAACTTTTCTTTGACAAATTTAATTTATGATTTTATGTAATGTTTTATTTATCAAGTTTCTCACTTCTTAAATAGAGGTGTATTTCGGTCCTTTATGTCACAAAAAGTAAAGTTGATAAAAAATTTTCCAAACTTTTGGGATTTAATCTGGTCCTATTCTTTATGCTTTTTCTTTCAACCTTAAGTGAATGCCACTGAAAAACAGGAGTAAAAGTCAGATTTCTTCAGGAAGCAACCTTGGAGCAATTATCTGAAATTGGTCCACCAGTCTGATTAATTAAACATTAACTTTTAGCTAGTAGGAGTTAGCTTCTTTTCTCTCTCTCCATCCTTGAAGCCTAGAGCAAACTCACCATTGTTCTAACTTAAACTGGACTGATAATAAATCATTTAGGATAATCATTTCCCTTCAACGTTGGAGTTGGCTAAATTGATTAAATATGGTATTTTACTAGTAAGATAATTTAATTGTTGATTTCTTTGCATTTATCACCTTTTTCATTTCTAATAATTATGCATTTTTTGGTTGTTGATGCAGGTTTGAGAATCTTGTTTTTAAATTGGAGATATTGGATCACAAAGCTCGGGAAAGAGCAGGAGTTATAACACCTACTTTTCTTGCACCAATTCCTGTAGTCTTGAAGGGTGATGCTGCTCTTGAGGTGAACATTTATTTGATTATGGTTGGCTCACACTTGATGGTTGTCACTAATTTTTATAGTAAGTACATTTTTGGCAAAAGCAAGTGTGCAATGACCATTTTTTGTCATTGTCCATGAATGGGTGAGCTGAGATGTGCTAACAGAAGTTAGGTGAATTATTTCTTTTCTTCATTTATGATTATGTTCTTTATTGCAAATTTCCCTGTTGCTCACTGTGAAATATCCTGTTTCCACACCCCTAATTGGAGAAAAAATGAAGCCCTACATGCTGGTTCCATCTAAGATGTACAGTATTAACGTGGAGTATGATTGTAAAAAGAGACTGGGATAGGCTTATTGAAGAATAGGGATCAGAGATTGATTGACTTATACCAGATCTGTTTTGCATGGGAGACTATACAGATCCTTTGGGGACCTAATCTCTGGGAACCCTGTAGTTGTGTTTTTATTTAATCACTTGCTGTACATTTCCCATTGATGTTGGATGAACTATTTATTTCTTGTGTCCACCAAGTAGATTATATAAGATTTAGTTTACTACTTGCAGTTTGTGTATTTCAATTTTGAAATTTTACTACTTGGAGCATGCTAGATTCTTATTGCTCTGGATTGTGATGTGTTGTTCTACCTGCATCATTCTTAAATTTTTTAATAAATTACTCATTCGTACCTCAGTTGTAATCATCATTGTTTGCATTGATTGCTAGGCCTTGCAATCACAGCCCATTACATGTGGAGTCTTCCAATCTGTTTACAACTATTGGAGGGAAAAGGTACAGAACTGATACTGAACCAAGCTATTTTCTGGAATTTTAAGAGATTTGGAATCCTTGTGACAGCACAAACTTGCTTGCCACTTGAGATTTTGGAATACAACAGTATTTATTTGTAGGGTGTTAGAAGAGGAACAGCTGAAACACTGAGATTTGCTTTTAATGAGCTTGCTAAATTTTCTAACTTTTAGTCATAATTAAGTCCACACTCTGCAAAATAACCAAAATGCTAGATGCCCAACAATTATGTGACTTTTATACAAGTTTGAAATTGTATCCGAATTTCATTTCCTTACCATGGATTCATGGGATTCTTGTGAATCACTTGTTTAATCATTCCTCTGTGTCATTATTGGGTATTCATGTGTTGCTTTTCACCTATTCCTTTGTACAGCGTGAAAGGTGGCAGAAGCCTATTTTGCGGCGATTACAGGTTAGTGCTCTAGCTAGATGCCTGTATTCATGTTTGACATGTTTCATGCTTCTAGATAATACCCCTTCTTTATTCTTCATTCTAATTAGACAAGGGTAGAAGTAGAACAAGTGGTTTAGTAACATCAAAATTTTGAAATCATTTGATCAGATTAGTCACCGCCAGTTATTTCATTAGTTTTTGGATGTCTTTCATTGTTGATTTCATGTATTTCTCGCTTGCTAGCTTTCTTCATTCTTAAATTTGTATTTGCAAAAGACCCTCGCAGCAAGTAGGTGGTATCTTGAGTATCAGCTATTGTCTCTCTGTATTAAGTCTTAACCATGCATTTTAAATCTTTCTTCATCTTATAATTTGCTTAAAAAATTATTCTGCTGCAACTGTGCATTAGGTAAAAGTTAATTCTTCTTCCCTGTATGCAGCCTCCTCCACCAGTTAATGACAATAATCCATACAACGTCTTTAGGCCGAGGGAGAAAGCTCACAGACTTCACACAAGAAGGGTAGGTGGCCAACTTGGTTTATTTTTGCACTTGATCATTGATTTTTTTCTTTCTTTTGATAATACTTTCTGCTAGACAAAGGAGTAAAATATCTGAATCATATTTAATAATCTATGCTAATAATAATTTTTTAATTTTGATTTTTAGCTGTTTGGCATTTGCCTAAAGTTCTGTTACTGTTATCTTTCATTAGATGCAAAGGAGGGAAAACAATGTACAGTCATTTGAAAAGCTTCGCCAGGTGAGTACAATTACACTAGTACATTGGAAATTTGTACACTTATTTATGGACAATATTTTTTTTTATTCCTTGTATTCACTCTAAATAGTTGTTCTGTGATATTGTTTCTGCTCGTACTCTTAGCACTTGATTTGATATATTTGCTTGATGAAAAGCCAATGGAAAACTTGGAAACTTGTTTGTTAGCTGCTTGTCTTATTTTTCTACTTTTATTCGTAATAGTCAATCTCAAAGACAAAAAGTGTGTCAATCTTCTATTTTTGTCAGCAATTTGAAGGAAAGTGATTAACATAAACCATTTTCTTGTCATTCACAATTTGTCAAAGTTTCGTAATGGCAAATGACTCATGTCTGCCTCTGTTTTTGGAAATTTTAAGCTAAAAACATGCTAACTATTTGAACAACTGTCAATTATGCTCTTAGCCACATAAGTTTTCTGTAGAAGAGAGAAAAAAGGATGGGTTAGCATTTTGAAACCTCTTAGTACCATTATGCTTTAGCCTTTGAAGAAAGTGTACAAGTGAAGATGCAGCACTTGGCCTCTAGCTACAACAATGGAAATTATGAAATCCAGTGAATTTTGTGAACTGTGGGTGAGGTGAAATTGGTTGCAGCCAAGAAAAAATAGAAAATTTCCCCCTTTTTTTGTTCTAACTACCCTACAAATTTGCATTCACCAATTGAAGCAGGAAGATATGTGGGTGGAGTGTGGGTGTATCAAGAAGGGGACTTAAGCATCCGTGTTTTCTAATTCATTGCGGAGAAACAGACAAGTGAAATTAAGCTGCAATAATTAATACTATTTAAGTATTTATTCTCTGTTGGGATAAGCTTTCCCATTGTATGTTGTTTCTTTTTTTCTACCTTAAAATTCATTTTTCATTTTAACGTTTGTAATCTTTATAGATTAACACATTTTCCTTCTCTTCTTTTGGGATTAATTCTTCAGGTCAGGCGCAACCTTGACCAGGCCAAGAGCATTCTTGAGGCATTGATTAAGGTGCTTCCTTGACTTTCAAGTTATATTTATGATTGTCAATGTAGATATTCTGTTCACTTGACTTACAAGAAATTTGTTAATGCAGAGAGAGGAGAAAAAGAGAGATGTTATGGAGAATGAAGTTAGCCTTCAAAGGATCCAAATGAAATACAAGGTCTGTATCCAATGTCGTGTCACCACGTTTGATTTTGTTGGTGAATTTAAGCAATACTTTTTCTCTATAAATTAATGGCCATAACCCAATAGATTAAATGACTTTCATGAAAAGAAAATGAATTTATGAAGGTCTTTAACAGTAGAGTTTGTGTCATAACAAACTTAAGTGGAGTTACAGCACAATGGTTGTAAAAAGGGGAAAGAATGAATGGGTATTCTTTGTTATAATTTTTCTATGGCGGAAAAAAGAGGTAAGAGTGTATGATATGTTTTTGAGCATTGTCATTTATAGCAGGAGAGGGTAATCATCCATTCTATAGAACTGTTCTTCCTCGAGTGTGATCTGTGCTTTTCAACCAAGATGCATGTATTCATTTAGTTAACTTATGAATCTTATCCAAGTAACACTTAATTTCTAATTTTCATTTAAATATTTCCTGATGGCTTATGTAATTGTGAGTTTATTGTATTTGATAAAGTTGGTTGTTTAATGGTTTTTTGGCTGCATCATGAAATTTCAGCATGAAACTGAGCTCCTTGAAGATAGCATGGTGCTTCCGGGATTTCTACCTGTCTCTTGCAAATTTGGTTCAAGTGAAGATGAGTTTGTTGTGGATTCAGATGATCTTGCAAGTAGCCGTCCACGCATGCGTCCTGCTGCAGTACAGAATCCACCTTTCACAGACTCCAATGTGGGTATGGTTCCTGCTGGAAACATTAAGCAAGAGTTTCGGCGGCGACACATGCTGCAGGGATGGCTTCATAAACTGGTAAATCTAATCAAATCAGCCTTGTTGTCTTTCCATTACTCTGATAAGAAATTTTCAAGGGGTTGATTGCTATTTGCTATAGATTTTCCAATAGAAAAACAAGGGTTTCGCTGTAGTTGATACATGTTCAGGATGTATCATCCGTTTCTCTGATGTTTGTATCAGAATTTGAGTTGGTGTCAAAATGTGTTGATGCAGGATCCTCTTGAGCCAGTTTTGTTGTTCACAAAACCTCTAGTACCAGAAAAGTTGGCAGCTGCTGGAATCGTCCCGCCATCTGATCCAAAGAATGGTACACCATCACGTCCTTATAAATTTCATGGAAGAATTGGGCGTGGGGGAAGAATTGTATTTGACAGGTGGAATCCTCTCATGCATACTCCAATAGATTGTGGTAACTCCTTTTACATTCCACCGAAACCCCGACCTTCATCGTATAACTAGCATAGTTGCTTTGCTTGGTCCCTCCACAGCTGGGGCGGGCGATTCCACTGTAAAGAAATTGAACACATATTCAATTCGAGTGATAAGTAGGACCAAGCAAGATCTCAAATTGGTGCATATTTTGCGTCTTGCTTTTTATGCTCTACTGTCGGCAATTTATGCCATTGCGGAGCTTACACACACATTTGTGTATCCAATTCTTCTAATTAGCTTATATTTGCGCTCTCTCGGTTGACTGCACGTCTCTACTTGTGTTTGGAATTGGATTGAGAGGAATGAGCAGAAAGGAAATGTTTTTCAAATTTCAACCAATTACAATGAAGAGAAACAGACCAAATCTGTATTTAATTGAATTGAGTAAATTGTTTCATTTCCTTCACTTTTCCCTCATTCCCTTCAATCCAAAAATATAAGGAAAGTTTTATGTCAACCTCTTTATTGATCCATAAAACTAACATAAAAAAGAATAGAAATTGTAAAATTGATTTGAAAGAAGTGTAGTGTATGTTGGACTGTATTAAATTATATAAGGTAAACTCTTTTACTTTAATAATTTATATTTGTAACTTGGTGTAAAATGCCAAACTGATGTTTTAATTTCAATAAGAAAAAAATCTTGTGTAATCTTATTCTACAATATTTTTGTCTGTGTGATATGCCAATGGAAAATGATTTATTCACAATTATATTTTCACTGTAATCTTACACAATGAGGTCCCACAATATTCTTCTGACTTTGGCATATCTGAGTTTCATCAATTTTTTCTTAATTTATTTGTAGAACTTAAAGTAGTTAAATCTATATAGACTATCTATATATATAAGTCTATACAGACTATAGAATTTATATTTTGTACATAAAAAAAGTGAAATAATTAATTAAATTATTAATAAAAAAATACTTTCTCATTCCATATAATTAAAGTTTAAACTCTTGTTCTCCCTCTCTATTTAAACTCTTATTCTCCCTCTCTATCCCTCTCCCTCCCCCATGCTTTAACATGCCAAAAAGGTAATCTTACAAATATCACACATATGATTGTTGGTAAAGTTGCTTGTCAAGTCAAAATAGGGCACCATAATTAACAAGCATTAATGATTTCACTAAACCTTTTTTTTTCTTAGTACATCCAGAGTTAACTATTTAGTATTATAAAGAATTGAATTTTGAAAATACTCTTGTTTTTTACATTTTAAAATTCAGATAATTCATAAAGAAATGCCAACTAAGAAGAACTCACGTGTTTTAACCATGGAATATGAAACGGTTAACTCTTAATGTACTCCACAAAAAAATAATTGCCAAACTTGTCAAACCAAAAACTATTAACTAATTAATGAAGGGGTAAATTTTTTAGTTATGTACACTTTATATATGAAAACTAATTTAGTGACAATTTTTTTCACAATTTTATGTATCATTTAATGATTGACTCTTTTCATTGTACCAAAACTTGTGATATTATATATATCAACTCAATTAATGATATATGGAAGTTGTTAAAAAAAGTTGTAAAAATAGGTTGTGCATATCATATATTAAATAAGAGTTAAAATTAATTTACATACAATTGTTATACACATCATTTATATAAAATTTTATCTACTCATTTATTCACTATAAATTATTGAGATTTATTCATTTTTATCATATTTTTTAAAGATAATTATATTTTTCATTTAAAAAATTATAATAAATCTCAATCATTTATAATAAAAAAGTAATTATTAAAATTTTATATAAATAATGTGTATAACAATTGTGTACGAGTGAAGTCTACCTCATTAAGTAATTAACTTAGGAAGGGGGCAAATATGGTAGTATAGACTAATAATTTGAGATAATTTTTACATTGGTCCCTTTTTGGAGAATAATTTTCTTAGCCTCTCTATTTTGGAATTATTTTTTTAATTTACTCCTTTACAAATTTTCAATTTTCTCAATATAAAAAGACTGAAACTCTATTTCTCGTCGCTGCACCCCTCTTATCTAAGTTTTTTCAAGAGAAGATAGCAGTTCTTCCTTTTCTGATTTTCTAGTCTCCTTCAACTCTCCTCATTTCTTTAAAGGTTAGTACATTTATGAAGCATTTCTTCATTTTTTTTTATATATATCTTTTTAATGTCAGTTTAAAAATTAGTTGTAAGATTCGAGCAATGTTCATGTTGAGTTATAGAGATTGTAAACTTGAAATTTTACACATTAAGTTATAGGATTTGAGTAATTTTACAACCTAATAGAGGTTGATAATAAAATTTTCACTTGTATTTGATATCAATTTTTTTGACAAACCTTTCTCTTGGGGTTTGTTTGGTTTCCCTTCAACACAGCAATTGTTTCAATGAAATCCCAAGCCATAAAAAAAATGGTTTGGCCTAGGATTTTCATAATCCTGGCACAAAAGTCAAGGACTCATGAAACGAAGGCTAATCTATTTTTTCATGGCTTATTGCTTCGTTGGAAACCGTTGTTGCCCTGAGGGAAATCAAACGAGCCCCATGTTTTTTTGAGGAAACGGAAATTGGGCACCATAAGCCCTTAGTCTCCCATGCACACATTTTATGAAGGAAAACTTCCCCAAATTCTTCTTTCGAGGAAGGCTTATCAAACATGCTTTAATATAATTATTTTTCTTTTATTTTGAAATAACTTTTTTTTTTTTTTGTAAAATAATGTTTTTGATTTAGTGTCTTCCACTTTCAAAGTGTTTGAAAATATTAATTTATAGAGTTATTTATATTATTAAATAATCCATCAATTAACAGCTTTAGTCTAACAAATTAATAAGACAAATAGAGTCACAATCCTATTTAGGAAGACAAATGTTTTCCCAAACTCTCACGCATTATATCTCACTACATAATTTTCTTCTAACGTTTTTAATGTCAAATTCTTATGAGGGGCTTGTTTGGTTTGATACAAATTTCTTAGGATTGGGAAAATTGAAATGTGCAATAAGAAAAGTTGATAACTTTAATAATGAAGTTTTGTTGAATTGTTAATTTTTTATATTTGGAAAGAAATTGACATTAAGAGTTGAGAAAGTTGTGAAAAGTTGGTAGTGGATTCCAATAGAAAAAGTTAATGGAAATTAACATTTTTTAAAATAAAATTATAAAAATAAAAGATTATTTATTCAGCATTATGTGAGGGAAAATGGGTTAAAAATGCTAACTATACCATTTATTTGTTATAATATTGAGATGTATAAATGAAAAAAATGACCCTAAACTTTCATGCGTGAAGGTGGAAATACGGCTAGCAATTAAACATCATCTCAAGAGATTGTAATGGGTCTGAGCTTTGTACCAGGCTGTCTTGGATGAAAATTGTTCTTGTTGGGGTTTTATCCCATCGGGTAGCTTAGACTTTATTTTAAGTTAGAATTATAGTTTAGAGTAGTGTCAAGATTCCAGGATTTTCGCGTTCTACTTTCTAGGTTTCTAGACGTGTATTAGATTAATAAATCTTGGCATGATTGAGTTTGATAATTGGTAATGGTTCTAAAATATACCATTTTCAATGTTATTAGACTTGTAATACATGATATTTGTTAATGAAGATTCCTTTTTTATCAAAAAAAGAAAAAAAAAAAAAACACCCAATATGTAAAAAAGTTAATAATCTCAACAAAACTTTATTATAAAAGTTATTAAATTTTGACAACATTTTTCAACTTTTCTTATGGTATTTTTCTATCCATTTTTTAAGTAAAAGTTTTTTCTAATAAAGTCAACATTTAACCAAACAAGCCTTGTTAGTTTGGGGGAAACTTTTCCTTCTTTTAGGTTATTCACAAATTTTCACACCTTAATGTTATATTAAAAGAAAAATAGTCATTTTTTTTTCTTATTACAATTTCTAATTAATAAACTCTTCTTTTTATATTTCTCAAACATAAAAAATTTGCCTTTAATTTTTTCTGTGTAGATTCACTTGACAATTTTTTTTATTAATTTTTGTTATGTTAATATCTTATCAAATATAAAAAAATTAATAACTTAATAAATTTTTAACAAAATTTTATTATATAACTTATTAATTTCTTATACATTGCTTTCCTAACACATTTTCCAATAAAAACTTTCTTTATAATTGTTTTTTTTTTTTTTTTGAAAATAGACAATGAACTTTCTTTATAAAATTGGTTCTAACAAAAGAGATCCTAAAACAAGCATGGTAGAATAAGTACTGCTCCATTCTCCCATATATTTGTTGATT